CTTGCTTCCTCTCTTAGTCTGATCAAGAGCCTGGAAGAGGAGGAAGAGTTCATCTGCGGGGTGCTGCTCCCAGGTCAGAAAGTCTGATAAGAAAGGATGATGCGCATGTGTGGGTTTTAATAAAAGACGTTGCGTTGATAATTTAAGTTCGATTATGCCTTTTGGTTTTTGCTCACATTATAAACATTCAAAGCCTTGTCCTTTTTAGAAAGTACAGTGGCCCCCAAAAGTAGGAGAGTACCTACCACTCTTACCCCTTTGTTGTCTGCCACCTGCCTCTTTTTTCCTGGTATCGAGAAGACAGACTGACCAGGAGCCTGGCGTGGGTCTCTCAGCACCACCAGTATTATGGATCATTGAGATAAATGTTAATGCTTTATTCCTCAAATGCTTCAGCACCTTGATACTCAGCATGTGGTCCCAGGACCAGCAATGTCCCCATCCCCTGGGGGGTTGTTAGAAATGGAGAAGCCCAGGTTCCCCTGAGACCCACCGAATCAGAATCTGCATTTTCAGTGGATCCCTGGGAGAACCACACCCAATGAAAGGGGAGGACTGCGACTGCAAGGAATCCTCTGGAAGCAGCTCACAGGGACTTCTGAAACCACAGGGCACTTACTGAAAGCGCTGAAGCCCTCACTGGCTGACTGTTCTCTCCGAGGCAACCCCCCTCCTCCCCATTAATAAAGACGCTCTCATTTGCGCTGTGAGTCGCCTTTGGAGACAGCAGATGCTAAATGCCAACTGAGCGTGGCTTCAGCTAGTTTACACCGCTTTCCAGAGGACCCTGAGTTAGTCCTACAGATAATCGATACTCTCTGGGCTCTACAGAACTTTAATTCTCAAGGGTTGGCATTTCACTCCGTTTTTGTACAATCCCATTTGGATGGAGGGGCCGCCAAAGTTCTTATGTGATCGTAGGTGGTTCAAAGGAAGCTTGGTGGACCGCGAGACCCGGAAATGCCAGTACTTGTCCAGAGTGAACATAAAGGTTTTTTTCCAGTCAACTGAAAAAATTTTACTGAAATAGGAATTGATGATTATAACCATCAGCAGTCATTTAAGTGTACCAGACAGGATTTCTTGGCTTGTTTCCTTTTCCTTACAAGAATGTGTGGGCACAGTAAAAACAAGGACTCCAGAATTCTCACCAGTCTGTTTGCACTCCTGTTTCTGATATGTCTACTGACTGCTCAAAATTTGGATCCAGAAGTTAAATTTAGACTTACCCTCCGTAGATGGGAAAGGAGACAGGGTGGAAATGCTAGACAATTACGTGTCTGTGTGAGGTTATTTGGAATCCCAGACAGATTCTAGTCCTGGTGCTTATCCTGTTCTCTGTAATGCTTCTAAATCGTGCGTGCTCGTAAGTATAGACATTAACGCTGCATATGGAATTTTTAGAAAGGTGTGCTACCCAGTGGAGACCACTGACGCCTCCAGCTCTCGGAGCAGCAGTGACAGCTGGAAGGAAATATCCTATGTGGCCTGGTGGTCAGGTGTGTGAAGCCTGCGGTTTGGTGGCCTGGGTTTGAACCCTGGCTCTGACGCTTACCTCGGTAACTCTGGGCAGCTTACTCAGCCTCTCTAGGTCTTAGGCGAAAAAGGGGGATAATAATAGTACCTACTCCATAGGGTTATTATGAGAACAGAAGGAATTGATATATATATATATATGAAGCTGCTTAAGACAGTGCCTAGGAGATAAGAAGTTAACCGGTATTCCCTATTATTATTAAATCTGAAATATGACAAAATTGATGGATTCGGTGGAGTGCTGGATGTGAGCCTGGCGCTCAAATGAGGGGGCTACTAGAACTGCGTTTCTTACTTCACTTCTCGCTTCCCGCAGTTCTAATGAACAGTGAGGTCTACCCATGCAGCAGTGGCTCCCTGTGACGGACTGAACTGCCTGTGCTTTCCAATGAGAAGCAAGGTCACGTGACATAACTGGATCGTTCACAGGCGGCTGCACGGCTTGCAGACCACGGGCACATTCACTTTCTCCTTTGCTCTCCCCAGTTTCTCTGGAGGTAGGGCAGGTGCCATGGTCCCCACCCGACAGAGAAGGGCACTGAGGCTCAGCTAAGGCAGTGGCTTGGCGGAAGTGCCCAACGAAAGCCCTGGCTTCTGCGTGCCAGGTCCAATGCCTTTTCCACCAGTCTCTCAACAGGTCTGCTGACCGTGCTGTAAGGTGTCGTCCAAGTCCAGGAGGCCACTGAGACCCGCTTCTCTTCCTTCTCCCTCCTGTAAGGGCAGGGCCTGAGCAGCTCTCAAAGTTGCATCTGCATGTTTCCTGCCGGAGGGAAGGGCCTCCCATGTGGCTGATGCTCTAGACCTAGAATTATGGGCTTTGGATTCACATCGAAGGTAAGGGAGGGAGCTAGGAAGGGGAGAGAGGGGAGGGGAGGTGCTGATGGTTTCATCCTCAGCTGGAGCCTCTTCCACAAGCTACCACCCTAAGCTGAGGAGACAGAGGATGCTGGGGGATACCTATGGTTTGGGTCCATGAGAATTCCTAAGTGTATTATGAAAAAGAATAATTAATGGCAAGTGTCTTTGGGACACGCTTGCAAAGATGTGTGCCTCCTCTGTGCCCTCTTGACCCACAACAGCCATTGTCAATTGACCATGATCTTCCCTGCCGAGCCCAGGGCTCCGGGCAGCCACCCCCAGTCAGATTTGTCACGTGGGAGGGAACGCACTGGCCATTCCACTTTTGATGAGGTACCTCTTTAGTGCAACGAGGAGCTACATTTGTTGTTGAATTAATTCTGCAGTTACTGGTGGCAGCAACAATGTTTGTATTAGCTATTCAAGCAATATTTCTCCTTTGACGTTTTTCACCTTCTGTGTGACATAGAGCAGCTTTTTTTTCGGATCAGGGTTAATTATTATCTTTGTTTTGTTAATTTATTTTATTTCTTTGTATTAAATCTTGGGGTGACATTGGTTAATAAGATTAAGTAGGTTTAAAGTGTACATTTCTATATGCAAATATACAATCCGTGTATTGCATTGTGTGCCCACCCCCAAAAGTCAGATCTTCTGTGACCATATATTTGACCCCCTTTACCCTATATTGCCCTCCCATCCCCCTTCTCGCTGGTAATCACACTGTTGTCTGTGTCTATGAGTTGTGTTTTTTTCCCTTGTGTGTTCATTTGTTGCTTTCAGCTTTCTATCCCACGTGAGTGAAATCATGATTTTTAACTTTTTCTGTCTTACTTCGCTTTTCAAATAAAAACTGCTCACCAGCGTATGAGTCACCTGCATCCATTGTAACAAACCATCTCTTCTGTCTCTCTAGAGGCAAATTTTATCTTTTATTCCATCTGCTGAGATGTGAAAGGGAGCCAGCCGTAGGAGTAAGGAGTTCTCCCTTCTCCCAAGCACACATGAGATTGTTACAAACTGTTCGGACGCGCTGCGCTGTGATCTCCTGCCTCACCGCTCCAAGTTGACAGTGTCCCTTTGAGACAGCTGCCGTCCTCAGAGCTCTGGGGAGAAAGCACGTGTCTGCGGCTGGCTGTGCCGGCCCTGGCAGGCCACATGTATAACAGGCCCAGGAATGCCTGGCAGACGATTTTGCCCTGAACGTGTTCATAGGGCTGTGTGAGACCTGCAAAGAGCTTGAGAACTCAGAGTCAAGGCATAATTTTAATCGAGACTCTGCTCATCCTTTTCTCATTTAAACAGTTGGGAAGAAGCAGGAAGAAGGAGGTGCAGGTGGCAGGGCACTTAGGAGGGCAATGCGAAGTCAACAGAGTGGTCGATCCTATTTCAGTGCCTTAATGCAGTTCGAGTTTAAATCATAGGGCCTTTTGGCGAAGTTGCCTCAATGCGATCAGCGAAGGAAGGGGTCACCATGTGGAAAGTGCTTTGGCCACGTGCACGCTGAGGATCTCACTGAGGAGCCAGGGGATGGGTGCCCATGACCACGGACAAGGCTCAGCAGTGCCCAGGGTCATGGCTTCCTGCCAGCGCCAGAGCTTGTGTTCATATTGATCCGGCCCAGCAAATGGCACTCTAACCGAAGACTAGGCATTGCTTTAAGAAAATGTTGCAGGGCGTCCAACCTGCGGCCTGCAGGCCACATGTAGCGCAGGGTAGCTATGAATACAGCCCAACACAAAATCGTAAATTTACTTAAAACGTTATGAGATTTTTTGTGTGTGTGATTACATGTGGCACTCTTTTTAACGCGTGGCCCAGAGATGCCAAAAGGCTGGACACCCTGGACAGTGTATTACTGTGAATTTCCGTGGTGACAATCAGAGAGCATTTGGAAAATACAAAAAGATTAAAAAGGAAAAAATTTATCCATAGTCACACTGTCTATAAAAATATACTCTTTAAAATTTGGATGTATTTCACTGAAGTCTTTTTTTCAATATATTTGTGTATAAATTTAAAGAAGTCTGTATCATAATGAAAACAATTTTATCATGTTTATTTACACTTATGAGCATATTTGTATGTCATCAGGTTATTTAAAATACTATATTAAGTGGCTACATAAGATTCCATCCTATAGGCTCACCGTAATTTTAACCGCTTTGTTGAACATTTTAGTAGTTTCCACATTTATGTGCATTATATATATGATAACACTGTGTTTCTAAGGGAGAAAATAAGGAGAATGGATTTTTGTCATCCTGATGAGACACTCATTGTAATGCTGCTAACGATGTGATATTATTAGATATTGTGCCTTGGAGCATAGGTGGTAGGTGGTATCATGTGTTGATGCTTAAAAGCAGGGAATCTCCAGAGTCCCACATAAAATAGAGCCCTTCGGGCACCAATCCACTGAAGGGTTGACGGTTCCGTCTAATAAGTCTGTAAACATAATTGCGGGGTAGTTGGCTCCGTGGGAACTCCGTAGCTGCTGTGTTAAGTCCTGCTAAGTGCTGCTGAATTTGGAGTCAATGCTTCTAGTGGTCTTCCTACCTGCAGCCCTTTGGCGCTCACAACTGCTTCTCTTCTCTTCCCTGCAGCTGCTGGGGCTTCCGGATGCAGATGACGATGCGTTTGAAGAGTACAGTGCAGACGTGGAGGAGGAGGAACCAGAGGCAGACCACCCCCAAATGGGGGTCAGCCAGCAGTAAACTCGCAAGGGCCCCCTTCTGATGAGGAGTGAGCCCCGTGGTACCCGAGGTGGGGTCGCGTGCTCCTGGGTTAGCTCTTCGAAACAGGACATCTGACTCCCAGCTTCCAAATTAAAACGAAATACCTTTTTAACAACCACAAAATATCTGGGATGAGCTGTGCTCAGAAGTGACCTGCATTTTGCTCCCGTTTCAGTGGGTTTCTATGGAGTTGTCTCGGTAGCCTTGGCCATTTCGAATTTAGAGTCCATTTTGTGGCTGACCATTCTCTCTTGAGTTTATGTTGGAGAACTGACATTCGCTGACTTGAATGTAGAGAACTCTGAATGTATTAAGGATGTGTTTTGAGTCCTCACAGGTGACTTGATCGCGGGAAAGCATGGCAGAGAAGAAACGCAGTCTGCGCTTTTTATGTACCTTGTAAGTGTTGTAAGTGAAAGGTTTTGCTTATAAAGCATGAGTTACAATACCTAGTCATCACACTGCACAAGTGCAAATACAAGGGCAGAAAAGGGTAATCACTGAGCTTTGAATGGAGAGAGTAAAGGAAGCAAAGGACCTTCAAGTGTGCTGCCATTACTGAGGTACCTAGATACGCGGCAACTGGTTCATGGTTGTACAAACATACCTGCATGGTCAGTTATTTTAAAACATGCTAATTCCAAAGCCACTTTTAAAGTGTTAACAGTGGAAAATATAAATGGGGTGACATCAGTTACCGATTTCGTTAAACTGTAAGCCGTCCCACATATGAAATGAAACATTTACCTTCTCTCTTTATAATGAGATGGCAACTTGTTAAATCATGAAAACGTCCAGAATCCAAGGGCCACTTCAACTTTGAAGCCATAAATTTAATGGGAAAATAAACCAGGATAACATTTTTTAAAAATATAGTGGGATCCTTCTTTCTTAATCTGTCTTTTATCCTTTTTTAAAAAAAAGTCACAAAAAGGATCCCACTGTATAATTTACTTAAAAATTGTAATCACGTGCTTCGAGGAACCTATTTGCAGTGAGTTTTTAAAATGATATGAAAGTGGGAATCTTTTCATCGCAGGTTAGCGTGGTTCAGAGGGGAAGTTTTAATGATCAAAACACTCAGACAACTCACAGAGACAATGACAGTCAACCTCTTGGGGGTATCCTTTGTCATGCTCATATGGACTTATTTAAAATACTCATTTTCTTGGACCCTCTGCATCTCTGGTTCTAACAACATTGGATGCCAAGTGCTTCTTTTACGACATTTCACTGAACGTAGCATCCGGGGTGAGGAAGTTTTTAACATGCATACCTGTTAGGTTGTCAACGTTTCAATTAAAAAAGAAGAAGGAAAAAAAGCAGCAGCCGCAGAAGCCACATAGCTTCTGGGAGTCTTGTCTGTCTTCCAGGCACGTGGATATAAACCTGCTAAATCTCGGCGTTTTTTGTCTAATTGGTGCTCTGAGGAGTGCGCTGCTGGTGGTCAAACCGTGTACTGCAGTTTTAAGCCATTGGGTAAAATAATAGAGTGGTTTCCATCTGTGCGTCACATTTTTTCTTGTCTTGAGAAAAGATAGTCAAGGTTAGTTTCACGTCAAATGAATGTCCTTCCAGGGAGCCTATTAACAAAACAAACTGGGATGTTTCATCCTGTGGGATGAGGGTGCTCTGGGCTTTGCTCCCTCACCTGTGTTCTGATTGGCTCCAGACCTGTGCACAGGTGTTTGGGAAGCTATGCCTTCTGTAGATCTTGCTCAGGTGTGGTCACCTTTGTTTCAACACAGTAAGCTGAAAGAATGACTTCTGCAGTGGAGATGAAGAAACTTGACTAGCTTGCTCCATCCGAAGGTAAACTGGAATTTTCTATGTGGTAGAGGCTGAGCATCTAAATTTGCATATGTTTGAAAATGGAATGGACATTGATGTAAAATGTATTTTATCCAAAAACTGTTTAGGTTTTGACCAGATGCACTTTGGTATTCTTATGTGAATGTTCTGTTCCTAAAAATTGAGTTCACATAGACTCAGCCATTCTCTTGGGCTGAGGAGAAATACAACCCTTGTTTTGTCCGGAGGTTGGGGATAACATTGCTGTATGTTACTTATTTTCCTGACAGAACCCCAAAAGGCATTAGCAAATCAGGTCATTTCCTCTAAAACTTCCTTTTCTCTGTGCGTCCCCGCCAGTGCTCACTGACACATGCACACATTCGGGTCACGTGTGGCATTCGAATTGGCATTGAGAAGCCTGTGGCTTCTGTTGTGGAAACAGTTCCATGGCTGGACAAGCTGAGACTTTCACAGACATATTCATGCTCTCCCAGGAGGTGACGGGGCACAGCGGGAGGAGCACTGACCCAGGAGTTAGGAGAGGGACCTGGGTCCTGGCGCTTACTCTACCAGTGACCATGTGACCGTGGGCAAGTCACTTACCTAGCCTGAGACAAAGGGCACTTGCCCTTCCTGCTTTAACCACTGTTCTTCCATAACTGCCTTACGATGTGTATGGGTATGAAGAGCTACAATAGAGGAGACTTGAAGGGAAGCGAGCAGGAAATATATTTAGAATCTGCCTGTCTTGCGGACCCTAGCCACAGGGCTACCTTAGAACGTGTTTCTGTTGGTCTGGATGTGTCCGAGCCCCCTGAGGCCTGATCCTGAGGGGCTGATGACACTGTTCCATGGGTGAGAGCCAGGCCCCAGAAGGCACAGAAAACAGACTTGTCTCAGTCATCAGTGCTCTGCCTATGGAAGGCATAGTTTTATTTGTGCCCTGCCAGATTGCGGCTTTGGACGTGGGATAAGTTTAACTTAATTGAGAGGGGAAAATTGCATGAAGAATAACTGGAGAAGGGTGACTTTTACTTTTTTTTTTTGCCATCTCATTCAGTAGAGAGAAAGAGAGTGTGTGTGTGTGAGTGTATGTGTGAGTGTGTAGGTGTGTGTACAGGAGAGCGAGTGCCGTTGGTCACTATGGAAGCCTGCCTATGATGACCTTACATGGCCCAGGGTTCAGTGACCCACAGGGACATTTTTCTCATGGCTACTGGTTACTTCTCTCTGTCTGATAATCAGACCAAGTGGACTCTAGGGAACCGGAGAGTGAACTATGGAGCCGGGGGCAGGGATGAGACCCCACACAGTGCCTGCCATACGGTGTCCACTCCAGTCCCCCAGGCTCAGAACAGCACGTAGTCGTTGTTGTTCTTCGGTGACTAGAACACAGAAAGTCTCCTCCTTAGGAATTCTCCTCGTGTCCTGGTGCAGAATTAGGATTCCAGTGTCCTCAAGTGGAAACCTCTCTCCTCTCATATTTACTGTCATTTTTCTCGTGTCAGCAGAAGCCATTCTCTAGCACAATTACATCTCTAAATAGTGTTTCTGTTTGATAAGAGCACAAAGTGTGTGGCCCCCGGGGAGCTGGGAGGGCAGAGCGGCCCTGGACCCTGCTTCGCTCCTGCGGACTGACAAGCTGGGAGACAGGCGTCTGAACCAGTCCGATTGCCATGGTTTTGGGGGCAGGTAGGAGGAGGCAGGACTTAAATCTGGGATGGGAGAAGATGAGTAAGGGAGAACGAATTAGGGAAGGGAGAATTAGGGTCTGATTCTTTAGAAAAACAAAGTAAAAAGCCAGGAGGCGGTTATCGTGGAAGGTCCAGGAAAACTCTTTTCATGGCTATGCCCCTAGGAGGCTGCTTAGCTCAAAGGGACTGGCTGCCTGTTGCGAGGCAAGGCCTGTGTTGGGAATGGCTTCTTAGCTTTGAATATGCCGCCCAGCCAAGGAGACAGTGGGTGTCCTGCCAGTCTGGTGCAGTCCTTGCCCTGGAGAAGCCAGCTGTCAGGCAGATGAGCCCGTCTTTCCAAAGTGCTGACAGACTTGAGAGAGGCACCAATCACATGCCAGGCTGAATGTGAACTGAACTTGATCTTGCTGTCAGCTGCGGAGGGGCCCGGGTCAGGGATGCCCTCCCGCAGGCTTGAGGGCAAAGCCCACCTACTCCACCAGCTGCAGGGGCCTGGAAAGAACGTAGTTAAAACTCAAGCGAGTCTCATATCCCACCTGCCTAGTCTTCAGATTACCAGAGAAACCTACAGCTTTTCTTTTTTTGAATTAAAAACTAATCCTCTTCCCATAAAGACTCAATCAGTTATCTTGGCTTTGTAATACCAGATATTATAACATGAAAGGCTGAAGTCTTTTCGATTTATACAGAATAATTCTAAAATTTGCCAGGATGCCAGTAGCCTCTGGTGTCCATGGCAACGTGGTGTCCATGGTACAATATCTATAGCTCACATTCATTGGGCAAATTGTTAATAATATGTTGTCTTTGATATATTTTTTTAAAATCTGGATTGCAAAAATAGAGGACCTATGACTGTTTTGTGTTAGGAAGCCCATTTAAAGCATTAGAAGCCTGAAGAGGATTACACAGTTAAAAGCAGGCACCAGGCCACATAAAAATAAACATTTAATTTACTGAGAACTGTGTATTCAAGTTGTCTAGTACCGCAGAGAAAGCTGACAGTCTGTTCTTTATAAAACTGCCTTTCCCTGTTTTTTTCTTTTGTTTCATTGGATTTATTTTTTTCGTTAGGACCTTCTGGTAGCTAGGCAGAGGGAGAGAGAGGGCAGTACTCGGTGCACAAGGCGGCTTTGCAAGGGGGAAAGTAAATCATTAGTTCTAAACAAATCTGAAACTATCCGCGAACCAGTCTTAATGTGTGTATGAAAGCAGTTTAACCGTCTAATGATAAGCAAAAGCAAGGAAGAGTTTGAGGGGTGGGGTTCTTAGGCAAAAAAAAAAAAAAAAAAAACAAGAAAAGAAAAAAATTTCATGCAAGGTGTGTATGCTTTCTTTGCCTTTATTATTTCCTTTCCAAGAAATCTCTTGTAAATGACAAAACTGTGAAATGGGTTGCCAAACATCTTTGCCCTTTGTAGACGCTTCCGGCAGTGTGAATCCCGGACTGAACCCTGTCCGCATCTGCTCCTTTCTCCCAAGAGAGAGGCTCTCATCCCACGATGTAATTACCATACGCTTGCTATTAAAGACCCTTCCAAACACTGCTGACCGTCGCCTCTTTCTTGCTCCCTGCACCACGCGTGGCTGGTCCTTTGATAAAATTGAGGAACAAGGAAGAAGAACCGTTTGGCTAGCTTTGTGGTGGCCGTTGTTGGGACAGGTGGAGATGGGAGGATCGTGAGCAGGGGAGAGAGGGAGGAGGTGGTTGTAGGAACCACTGATACGACTCCAATGTTAATAATTGATGTGTTTTGAGACATGATTATATCTGATGCTGTTGCTGGGATTCAGTAATTTTCCACTCTTCATACTAGCCCTTTAGGTTTATATGGGAAGAATTTTTTCTCTCCTAGTTAGGACTCCTTTATAACACCACTTAAAAACCTGGGGTCATTCTATGATGGCACTGACACCTTTGCCCCACAACTTCCTTCCCACTTCCTGTTATTCGGTAAACAATGGCATTTAAGGAATAAACCTGGAAGTAAATGGAAAGGTCTCCATAGATTGTTAAATTAGATCTGAGATTGCCTTACTAGGCACAGCATATTGTGTGCGCGTTTCACGTAAACTTAACCGGTGGTTCTTTGTTTTTGTCGTGGCTGTCGACAGATCGCGTCGGAGGGTGGGCCGTGGGCAAGCGTCACACATCTTGCTCCATCCAGTTGTGACCTTGGCAGGGAAGCAGCATGGGTTCCCCCAGACAAAGCCTTTCTTATGGGGGAATTCCCTTGTTGTTGTTATTTGACCACTCACAAGTATACTTTTAAAAATATAGACTGGCTTCTTCAAGCAGGGGCTGGGCCTTAGAAAGACCCACACTTTGCTTTTGCAGGGACTCTGGAGTCAGCTGGCTGGGGTCGGGGCTGTGTGACGATGGGTGCCTCGCTTCCCCTACCTCTCACCTTCGTGTCCTCATCTGTAAAAATAAAACCATACACTCACTTCCAAGTCCTCCAGGCACTAACATTATGGGAATGTGTGCTATCTTGGCTAGTGGGGTAGGGAGGGTGGGAGGCAAAGTTTATAAGGAAAATACTGTCCCATGGAACGAGGGCTGGGTGACCGGGTATTGGCAGAACTGGATTCTCTGATTTTGAATGCATTTTCCCTAGGACACCTTTCAGATATAACAACCCCAGCCAAAATAGTGGCCCCAACGCTGACATCCCTGAATTCTTTCTCCTGACCTCCTACCCTTCCCTTCTCTTCGCGATCAATAATATGGAATAAACAACTACAACAAACTAGGAAGATCCGGGGTGTTTTGTTTAGGGATATAGCGAATATTTCCTTTAGGGATGAGTCTCATTGCCATAGACAAGTCAGGCCAGGTGGGACACCTCACTGTCCCCAGGGTTCCCTGTGGTCTTGAATGGGTTAAAGTGAAACAAAGGAAGAGAAGCAAAGCCGGCTTGCCAGGGTTTGGGCCCTGCCCTGGGGCTGGAGCCAGGACTTGCAGGGTCTGCCCATGGCTTTGCCTGCGGCCCTGCTGAATTGGGGGGAGCAAACATACGTCCTTCCTTCTGTCTTGGTCTTCGGCACTTTGTAAATGCAAGAAATTTGTCCTGACGTAGCTGACACTCTAACTTTTCCTCTCAATTCCGTAGTAAGCAAAAAGTAACTTGGAAATACTTTCTCTCTGGCCCACCTTTTTTCCTTTTTGGAGAAGAAAACAATGAAATTGATAAAAATCTGGGCAAGCTGTAACTAGGCAGCCAAACGAATAAAATGGGCATTTCCTATCAGGTCACATGTGAAGGAGCAGAGATATTTATTCCTTATTTTCTAGGAAAATAGGGCAATAGCACAGGTTTAGAAACCGGCAGTAAAATTAAGTGGGTCCTTTGGGATGCTTTTTAATTGGAAGCCTCTAGAGGTCAGTACCGCATAAAGAAAGGGCTTTCTGACTCTGGGTAGGCTGCTGCCCATTTCCTGGGAGCTCAGGAGAGCCAGCAGGCCGACCTCTAGAAGGGCAAGGGCGGAGCAAACAGCCCAGTTGACCACAGCAGAAGGTGCAGCATCCTTTATACATAAACCCTAACGTTTAACCGGGTTGATTTTTTCCCCTTCCCATCTGTCTCTTTCCACAGCTCCCACATGCCCCTGTGCACACTGTCAGTTCAATAAACCCGACTTATTGACCGATCGATGAAGCGTGGCATTTAGCTCTCACTCTCAAAGAGCTGGGGAAATGCCAGAGAGGACGTTTCACCTGCTTTGAGTGTGGAGGCAGCCCGGGCCCTGCTGACTGATAGCCAGCAGGCTTTGCTGAACCCACAGCTTCCAGCCCAGCTCCAGGGTGCCATGGGCAGACCCCAGAGCAGGCTCCCCTGGGCCTGCGTACGTCAGGAGTGTTGGGAAAGGATTTGAGCATCAATAGGAGAGCCAGCCAGAAATGACACAGCGGGAGCCCCAAGTGGGGACCCTTAGGTAGGGCAAGGCTGTAGAAAAACCAATGTGCCCTTCTTTTCTGTGCCCTTTGTCCTAGGCTTCGCCCCCTGAACAGCCTTTTACAAAGCCATTACAGACTCTTCTAATAAAAGAAGAGGCTATGACAGATTTCTCCTGAGGAAGGGGCTTTTCTCCCAGCTGATCCTGAAATAACCAGGAGCAAATATTCACTCTTCGTCAGACCAAGGCTTGAGAGGGAGGAGAAAGCTCCTCCTGTGTGCTTACGCCTGGTGACAGACAGCAGACTTACCAGCATGTGCCCTCAGCACCAATCTCCATGTAGCTCCCCAAACCACCCAAACACTTCTGGCTGGCCTTCTAGAACTTTCTTTCCCCACCCCTGTGCCAGGGCCGCAGTGCCCACCTGCAGGACCCCTCCACGGCTGCGTCATTATCACACTTGTCTTAAGACAGCGTCGTGTGGAGGGAGTGCATGGAAACTGGAGAGCCCGCTTCAAAGGCAAATCGAATTCACTTGAAGCTCATCTGTGTGTTTGGATGATCTCGGCCGCTGTTATCTCCCCAGACACAGGGAAGGGGAAGCTGGCTGTATCTGTGCACTGCAGGAAGTGCTGGTGCCCCAAACCCTCTTCCCCTGATTCTGAGATCCTAGTGTCACCGTTACATCCCCGTGACAGGGAGCCCCTGGTTCTGGCAGGTGCACGTGGGCCAGCTGGTGAGTGGCTACAAGGCGGGGTATGTGCCAAATCTCAGGAGCGATGATGCTTTTCTGTTTTCTGAATCCTGGACCCAGGAGAGGAAGGAAAGTAGAAACAGTGAGTCAAAGTTAACCTTTGAACATATAAACTCTCCAAGGGACATGAAGCTCTACGGATCCCGGAAGAGGAGGGGACGAAGAGAAGTTGGTTGTCTGGATCTGACTCTTGCTTCACAGACAGCCTTGGTCTTTCAACCTTTTGCTTACCCTGCAGTGCGACAGGCCACTCTGGGCCTCGGGCTGTGGGGGGCTATAAAAATACCAACTGTTGCGAAGAATCTCAACTTTAATTCGGGTTGTAAAGTGTCAGTTTCACAGCTCCTGGCTCCAGTGCTCCCTGTTGGGAGAGTGTAAACCTAGTAACTGAGAAGTGTGGGAGCTACAGTCTCCCCCCAGGTCATACTTTGCTGCTGGATTTCAGGTTGAATGCGCCCTAGTACGGGCTCCCTGCAGCCTGCCTTGCCCTTTGCCCTCCACGCAGCCATTGCCCCTCCTCTCCCACCTTGCCGGACACTGAGCACTTTAGAATTCAAAGCTCATCTAAATTCATATGGGGATATAATTAAATCCTTCACTAGACAACTCTACTACTTCAGTAGCATGGGCTTCATGTTTGTAAGTGGCCTTAGCTTTCATATTTAGTGCTCAGAGAAAAATCCCCATACAAAAAATAACTAGTACCTAACTACCGTGCCTTTTATAAGCTGGCTTGCACAGTGTGGGCCTAGGAGTGGGCGATACTTGGTGATAGAGCTAAGCTGTCCTCATGTGTTTTGATGTCCCCTTCCTCCAAAGACTATTTCTGACCCCGGCCTGCTCCCCAGTGGCTCCTGGAACGGGTTACAAAAAGAGCTAAGTGAGATCATGTTAGTGATTTGGTGTAAAATTCGAGCCACGCTGGAAACAGACCAGAGCCCTTCTGGTGCGGGGCGGGAGGCGTCTTTTCTAAACACCTCGCCAGCTTTGGAAAAAGATCTGGTATCCAGAAGCAAGACTTCGGTGTCCTCTGGCTCGATGCTCATGGGCTTGCCCAGCCCATCCACGTATTCTGTCTCCTCAGGACTCTGGCGAACCCCTTGGCCTAATGTGTAATGCATGCAAGCATATTCCCAGGGGAGCACTTCAGACCTTGCTCAAAATTTGCCACGTGCTCTTGAAAATCCATTTGGAAGCTAATGGTGGTGACGCAGGGTAGGACTTGACAAAAGAAAACAAACGCTGAGTCAGGTATGCTGCTAGCTGCTTAGGCTCATCTCCCTGGGGACGGGTCGGCCTGCGACAGAGGGAGAGCGTTACAGATGTGCTGTGACACAGACGTGGAGTTGGGCTGGGGAGTACAATGACCTTGGTCTGTTCGTCTGTTGTCAAGACAATGGCACTTTTGTGAATCCTCTAGAAATAGAACCGTTCATGTGGCACCCCAGTGTGCTCCACTTTGGAGCAGTGATGTGACAGGGAGGCAGCCACGAGGGGAGTCATCCCCTCTGGCCGGGTGACTAATTCTCTTTCCCACCCTCTGAAGAGTGACTGATGTCATCCATCTGGTCCAAACCAGCCTGGGGGTGAGAAGAGAACTAACCACAGACTCAAGTTCAGAGGTCTCTCGCTCTGACACTTACCTTGGGGATTTCCACCCTCCTCAGATTCCTCCCAAATGTTCAGGGGTGTCCTCGGGGTGTCTTGTGTGTTTCGCAGGCTCGTTCATCCCTGGCACCCGGTGCCTCCTCTCTGGCTTCACCCATGGCGCCTCTGCTAACGCTGCTGAGCTCCAAAATGGCGGCCGGTTGTCAGCGCCCACAGACAGGCCCAGCTGCTGTCCGCCAAACGTGCCTCTTGGCTGCCACCGCCTGCCCGTGTTGGC